TTGAAACCCCATGTTCCACTCGGAACCCTAGGGAACAATAATAATAATAAAATACTGTAGTGGTAAAAACAGGAAAATCGTTGTTTTAAAATAAAGAATGAAAGAAATTCCACAGAGATATCTTTCCCATGACTTTATTCTCTCGAGTTTTATATTCTATCACTTACCATGGATATACTTATTGCTCAGTTAAACATAATAAAGTTGTGGTGAGAGCTGTTTGCCAACCAAAATTGGTAGACAGCACTATAAGTTGATATAAGTATAAAACTTGGGCACTGTGGTAGAGCATAACTCCATTATGGATAAGATTTTATTTTGATAAATCACACAGTGTAGTGTTGTACAGTAATATTTACTGATCAGTAAATATTGTTCTTCGTGATGATATTAGATGTTTGGAGGCAATCGGCAGGAAGCCTTGGACCTAGGTTTCGTGCTAGTTGGCACTCGTCAGCAAGGCGTATCTGCAACCTTGAAGGAACTCATGTCCCCTCTGAGATTCGAACCCGCATCACCCAGTGCTGCAGTCAGAGACGTTACCACTGAGCTATTCGGGCTCGCGATTGACCTCCTGTAGGACTGTAGTGGATATTTTTTTTTGTCGAATCTCAGAGAGGACATGAGTTCCTTCAAGGTTGCAGATACGCCTTTCTGACGAGTGCCAACTAGCACGAAACCTAGGTCCAAGGCTTCCTGCCGATTGCCTCCAACCATCTAATATCACCACAAACAATGTACACCGTGATGGCGAGCTACCTAGAATGGTGGCCACATTACAACCTGACTGATAGAATTCAATCTGCACCAAAGAGAGGACTAGACGCATCACACTAGTTACTAGTGTCAAATTAAAAAAAAAATATTGTTCTTCTTATATTTATAATCTTCTCAATTTTTCGGTTTATTTTCTCATAAGTGTAAATATCATTTAATCTCTGTAATTAATTACGTCCTAAATCTTGATCATGAGAAAAGAACAATAGCAAAGTTTTACCTTGAGGAACTCAACAACCAATCACAGCAAACTCTGCGTGGGCGGATACGATTCGCAGATACATGGCTCAACTTCCTAGGAAACGGCCACTAAGAGATGACAGAATAACCTTGAGGAAGAAAACAACAAACCAGGAGACGTTGCTTCTCTGTTAACAATAACGCTAATAATAATGCACATAAAAATCTATAAATATCTGTTGATTTTCTGAATAAACGATCTGTTGCCTGACCCTTGTCTTCTGTCGTTACAAAGTGAGTGAGATGTAAAGAACACAGTAATAATTTTCAACTAGATGTGAAAGTCCATAAATGTAATGAGAGTTGAACATTTCTCACAAATAGAATATTTACAAATGTTGGTTTTGCAGCGATTTGATTGATTACAGGTTCAATGACGAGCTGATGAAACAGCTATCTAGTACTTCTTGGTTTTCCGGTGGTACTCTAACTGATTTCAACGTGCTGTGACCAAACGTGTAACCAATCAACTTTCTGTAAACTGACAGTCAAAAATTAATCTTATGCTCACTAGCAAGTGCCTGGCTGTCTACAGAAAATTACCTGGAGCTCTAGTGAGAAGTCCTGACCAGTGGAGTTCACCATGTCAGGCAAGAGGATGGTTAGTTCCCAGTGACTCTGACCGGTGGCTGCAATATATACTGCGATTTGGTCGAAGTTGGAACTCATGGGTCGTTGGGTCCCTTCCCAATAAATGAATGGCCTAAGGGCTTGCCTTGTAACCGGAAGGTCCTGGGTTCGAACCCTAGTTGTCCAGTAGTCCAAGTGTTGTCCGCTGTTCATTAACCCTGTAAACAAAAGGAATAGATAACAAAATAGTACAGGATTACGAATTTGTACTTGAGTAATAATTTTCACCAAAAGAAAGCTGTATATGTTCATATAGGCAGAATGGAATTATATTTTCATAACTGGAAATGAGAGAAACAGTAGTGGAGACTCATAACAGCGAAAGGAATAGAAATCAACCAAAACTTGACGAATGCATAGAATTAATTAGATAGCTCTATGTAAAACGGGAAACTGGATAATGTGACAGACAGCAGGCGGGGCAATGAGGAGACAGGTATAAAATGGACCCACACAAAATACTTGGCGGATCTGGATTTCACCGATGATATTTGTCTGATTTTTCACAAACTTGAAGATATGCAAGTGAAAAGCAACATGTTGGGAGAAGAAGCATCCATAGAAGATAGGCCTTCAGGTGAACATAGAGAAAACAGAGGTGATGATGAAGATTCCTGGCCAACACCAACAGCAGCAGTAACAACAACGGACAACAATTAGCACAGATGGGAGAAATGTGAAAGAAGCAATCTCCTTCACCTACCTACCTACCCACCTACGTACCTGGGGAGCATCGTTTCAACTACAGGCGGACGGAACTGATGAGTATATCATGGTGAGGATTGGGAAAGCAAGGCAAGCTTTCAATAATCTCAAGTCACTCACCACTGAGTATGAAAAAGAAGATCTGGATTTCCAACTCCAATGTGAAGTCAGTGCTACTTTATGGATTAGAGAGTTGGCGCGTCATGAAGAGTACTACACACAAACTACAGACCTTTATCAACAGCTGTCTTCGCTCAATACTACTCAAGATCAGATGGCTTGTCAGAAAAGATCACTGACAGGGAGGGATCGCTGGCAATGAACGAACCAACCCAGCAGGAACCGATTGTGCATTAAATATGCTGGAAGAAATGGAGTTTGGGGTGGATTGTCCATACTCTGAGAAAACCATCAAGTGACATCACATGCCAGGCCATCGCTCAAGTGGAACCCGAATGGGAAGCGGCAAGTTAGTTGGTCGTCAGTGCGAGGGTGTCATGGAGGGGGTCATGTGAAGAAGAGATCAAAGCATGTGGGCAGACGTGAAGCCAGGTGAGGACGTTGGTAGAGAACCGAACGCAATGGAGACGCACGTCTGAAGCCCTATGTTCCTGTAGGAATTAAAGGATACAATAATAATAATTTATTACAGTCTGACATAAATAATGACAACAATTTGAAAGCAAACACTATTAGATAGCTGTTCTTATCTAGTTTGGTACAGTTTTTATCAATTTGCACCCACAACCCTACAGCAAGTCAAGTACAATACGACTGAGTTTCAAGACAGTTATTCAATACTGTGAATTTATTGAGATATGGAGAACACAGCATATGGCTATGTCGAAATGAGCAACTGAGTGTTGACGTAGTTGTCTACTAATTCAAGGGATTCGAACTCTCCGGACACGAATTCCCATTTATAATCAGATTTTAGGATTTATGGAGATTTTGAGTTACTTTCAGTTGTTATATTTTCGTCATGAATAAGTGTTAGCTAGAAAGATCACTGTAAACCAGGGAGCATTAAACTACTGTTTTCCTATTTCGGCACTCCCCAGCAGTGCACACTTACGACCACAATAGGGATAAATTCAGGACCTTCAGGTTACGAGACCAATCTCATTGCCTATTCAGCCACTTCGACATTTAGCGTTACCCTCACCGATGTCTTCGATGAGCATCCATCGTAGGTCCCGACTTCGATGGTTAGTCGGGTACTGGGTGCGTACTTTCCAGAAGTCACAAAATGTGACGAAACAGCTGTCCAATGCTCCCTGGTTGACTATTGTCTCTCTGACTTTGTTTCGTGACAAAAATCCCCTTTAAAAATTTGAAGAAAGAACAAACATTGGTGAGGAATGGAACGTCGTGAGCAGGACTCGAAGCTGCACGACGAGACTCCACTGGATTTCGAGTCAAACATCTTAACCACTTGACAATGTCTGTTGTGTCCTTGTTCAAATTCTAAATCTGTTTGTAATGAAACAGTGCATTAATAATACTCCTTAAATAATCTCATACCAATGCATAGCAACTGCCCAGTACTTTGTGGTTTATTATATTGAATATTTATCGTGGTAAAAATTCACGATAATGTCCGTTTTGTTGGTCTGAATAGAACTTTGTTGTAACAGCAATGATAATAATAATCGATTTTGTATTCGCTCTTACTGTTACTTGGATGAATAACAAATATTACGAATGATCACTCGAACACTATTCCCATACTGAAAAGTGCGTAGAAGATTAACTAAGAAGGCAAACATTTATTACTTGACCGATAAATTATTAGTCTGAGATATAAAATACTGTTTCTGATTTGCTGCACATACCATCAAAGCCGCCAGCCAATGCCATTGACGAGTGTTTGTCCTCACATCTGACCTAGTGGACCCTCCCCCTTGGGAACAGGACTTCTCCCTAGATCTCCGAGCACTCTAGATGGAAGGTGGCGCTATGTTTTACGAAGTGGCAGAATTTAGGGTTCATGTGCCATCGGGTTCCACCTCAGTGGTTGAATGGTCAATGCGCGCTCTGAAAGAGGTCATGAATGCGTACTGTTGAAATAGTTTCCCAGTACATTTTCGCATTCAGTAGGGGTTCTCCAGCTGATATAAGTGCGTGATCCGGTTTGAAACCAATCAAATCCCCGCAAATGAACACTTGTAACATTCAATGAATTAGCTCTGAATCTACGTTAGGGTCATATATTTGATTTCCAGATCATTTAAACAGTTAGTCATAATATACCTTCTTCTGTACTAACAACCTTCCAAAATGAAGTGTTGGATCAGGTCCCAGTGGCTTAATAGTTTACTAGCTTGCCCTGTAACCGGAAAGTCCTGGGTACGAACTCCGGTGGATGCGTACTACTGAAGAGTTCCAAACTTGGACGAAACAGTTGTCCATTACTCCCAACCGGTTTCCTAATGGTTCTCTAACTGATGTCAGCTAGCTATGAAACCCTTTAACCTTCTCTATACATCTAATAACTATGTTTTATTTCCATTGGTTTCGTTCTTTTCCAATGTCTTCAGATGTTATTACGCAATCTACCCACCTTTGTGATACATTCAAGTGTCAGAGAGATATTTTCACTATTTCATCTAATTTTGAAGAATAATTTTAAACCAATACACAGGATAATGTGTAAAATATTGATAGAATTATTAAAACATTTCCCGCCTAACTTTATCCTCGATGAATTATGGATATGCATGAAAAATGCCAATTTTCGTATACGTACAAATTCCTTGTACAGTGTCGCATTTATTCTACGTAATTCACATGATGAAGGTTTGGATTTGCCGAAAATACTTCAAAGAATTACACAATGTTTGAAAGACAGAAGCGGAGTAGTAAGTTTATTTATTTATTTGTTTATTTGAGATCTTAGATTTGTATTTTCCGTTGATTAGTCAGAGCGGCAGAGTGCTTCGTCATAGTCTCGTTAGGAGGGTCCCAGCTAGGACTGTTGGCTCATCCTCTATTCCACTGCTAGTCATCAGCGATGGAGATGACATCATGTTAATCCTCAGACATCGTCCGTACTAAGAGAGTCGACATGTCACTGGAGACAATGGGACCTAGGTAGGAGTTTTAGTGGGAACACCGTCATCGACTAAGAATTACAGGTACATTCAGATGACTGGTCCTCAGCTGATCGAAATGTTTATCCTATATTCCACTGCTAGGTATCATGCATTCATTAACATCAGGTTGCAAGGCTTGTTACTCAGCGAGGCTTTTGGAGTAAACACAGGAGTCAGACAAGGGTGCTCATTATCACCAATGATATTCCTAATTGTGGTGGACTGGATTATGCGTCAGACAGTGCACGGAAACAAGAAGACAGGGATATCCTTGACCGACGTGAAGAACCTAGAAGACCTGGATTTTGCGCGTGGATGATTTATGTTTGATGTCACACAAAATCGAAGACTTACAAGCGAAAACCGACAAACTGGTCGAAGAAGCAGCCAGAGAAGACAGGTCTCCAGGTGAACATAGACAAGACGGAGGTTATGAAAATAACCAACTAACAACATCAACAGCAGCAATATCCAGCGCCAATCACCATCAACGGGAGGGATTTGAAAGAGGTTGCTTCATTCACTTATCTAGGGGGCATTGTCTCAACTACAGGAGGAACCGACGAGGATGTCAAATCGAGAACCGGGAAGGCGAGAAACACATTCATCAACCTGAAACCAATCTGGAAATCTTCGTCACTCAACTCAGCATCAACAACAAAATTCGGATTTTCAATACAAACGTCAAGTCAGTCAGTTCTTCTATACGGATGGATCAAAAACTTGGCGGGTCACAAAGAATATTTTCAACAGCCTGTTGCAGACCTTCATCAACAACAACTGTCTTCGTTCTATACTGAAGATCAGATGGCCGGAAGGAATCACCAACAAGAAACTATGGGAACAAACAAAACAAGAACCAATCGCTTAACAAATATGCAGGAGAAAGTGGAGATGGATTGGACACTCGTGGCTGAGGAGGCCGGTGAGTGACATCGCGCGTCAGGCCATTGCTCGAGTGGAACGCGAAAGGGAAGCGGCGAGTGGGACGTCAGTGCAAGGGTGACATGGAGGAGATCGTGTGAAGAGGAATTGAAACAGTATGGACTAACATGGATGCAGGTGAAAAGTACAGCAGAAGAGAGAAGCAAGTGGAGACGTGTAGTTGAAGCCCTATGTTGCACTAGGAACCCAAGGGAACAATAATAATAATAAGCCTTGTTCAACCTTGATTTCCGAATTTTCAGCTGTGCTAAGGAATCAGGTTCACGATTTGCAGATTACCCAGTTCTAGGTGGAATTTTACCACAGTTTCTTCTGGTCATTGACATTATTCAGATCTCCATATGTAATTTTTTTTGATTATAGCTTGATTCCATAACGTTTTTTTTGGTACAAGTATAGAATTTTCAGCATATGATATCGGTAGCCCAAATTTTGCAGGCCGACCAAAGATGTCAGGTATGCGTCGGTTGGAGATCGAACCCCGGAGCATGTGCATGGTCGGCGAGAGTCCTAACCACGTGCCATGAACAGCAGTGAAGAAAGCAAGCATAAATGTATAAAGGTATATACTACTGGTCGGTTGATATGGGTAGTTGAATGCCACTCCTATCAATCTCCGGTACTTGCTAAGCATATCGAAGCCGTCTAAACACACTCGACTACCGGTATACTCGTTTGTATTACCATGTCATCCACGTAGCAAGTCAGAATTCTCTTGGTTTCAACTGAATGGCCTCTCCTAACTGAGTCGTTCCAGGCAGACAAGTGAATGATTTCAGATATTGATGATGACAACAATCGATTATTGTTGATTTGAATCGTTGTAGTGCCTGTTCAAAGACTGGAATTAAATCATTTGTTTTGATCATCAGGTTTTCAAATTGTACATAAGTATGAAGATACTGGGATTTCAAAGATTAACGCTTTAAGATGTAAACGACAGTTAGAAGAAGCCGTCGATTCTTATGACACTTATAAGATTCATGACAATCAAAAGGAATTAAATCAGAAATTAAGTATCTTGAACTTATTCTCTCTTCTGATCTCTCCTGGTCTTCCCATGTCTCAGCGATCTCCAGTAAAATATTCCGCCTGACATTTTACATTAAGAAGTTAAGGCACTCGGATATAACTTAACCCCTCCTCTTACAGTTCATAATCTCTTGCATCTTACCTATTCTTCTTTATTGTTCACCCTTATTCTTTCCTGGTTTGCTTACAAAGGACTATGTCACAATTCGTGGAGTTCTGAAGACGGTCACTAGGATGAGTGGTGTCCCAGTGGACTACATAGTTAACGTCGTTGTCGATAGGCACTTGACTTCGCGCAGTAAATTTGCTAAAGGGATTTTGTCTGACTTGGAGTATCCACTTCACCCTCAGCTTTCACCTTGCATCTCCTCAGTTAGAACAAGAAGTAATTTCAGAAAACTGTATGCTCGCACGTCTAACTATAAAAAAATCTATGATACCATACTTGGTACGTATTTTATGTGATGAAAATAATGTCAGGCGAGAATTGAACAACCTTTTTTCATCTACTAAATAAACAATCTCCTCCATCCATCCTTATATACCTTCAAGTTTTACTTTTATTATTTCTATTATATTTATGGTCCTGTTGATTCTTTGTTTTTACTTTCATAACTGCAAACACCAACTTATCTCTATGACTTCTGTAATCTTTGTTTTTTCCCTCACCATATCATGTAAAGAGAGCATTATATTCAATATTTTTTAATCATGCAAGGATTTGTATATCGCATGGACAATACTGTGTGAAACAAGTCCACGGCAATTTCCACTTGTATTATTATTATTATCTTAGCTGCTATCATTATTATTATTTCCATTTTATATGCTTCATGCTTTTTTTGGACATTACTCCTTTTGTAAATGCGGAAAAAATTTCTGTGTGATTAATTTTATTTATTATTATTGTTGTTTCCTTTGATTCCTAGAGGAACATAGGGCTTCAGTCGTGCGTCTCCATTGCGTTCGGTTCTCTCGCCACCCGACCGATAGCTGCTACCTTGACGTGGTGGTCAGGCTTGCATATCACAATGACCCAACGAGCTACACTGGCTGGAACGTATGTTCCTGTAGGTCCTAACATGCCAGAAAGGTTGTTTGGATACCGGTTAGACAAAAAGCAGCTACCTAATCCTACACTATGATTCAAACAAATCCACAAAATATCATGCCGGATCGGTCGGGGCCCGGATTAACAACAACCGCGCTTCCTGCTGCTGTGTCACAGGGCAGAAGTGATAAGTATGCTACTGAGACACACCAAACAAGAAAGAGCTACCAAAAACAGGTCACGTGTGACCGGCCTCAAGCAGTTGTCCCCTGGGCTCTGCGGTCACGCAACACTAACCTTTTCTTTCTACCCTTCTCAGGCGTGAGGCTAGCAACCCCACCCTGTACACAAAGCTGCCACAGAAACTTCAGAACGACGAATCTCCTTGCGCCAAAAGAAAAAGTTTGTGTGGGGACATGGAATGTCCGCACCACGTACGAGATTGGCAAAGCTGCCCAGATCGCGAACGAAATGAAAAGATACGGAATTCAAGTACTGGGGATATGTGAGAGCAGATGGAACGGGAATGTACTCACCAAATTGTCAACGGGTGAATCAGTGATCTACTTCGGTCACCCAGAGGATAACCGCATGCACACCGAGGGCGTGGCTATCATGATGTCACCAACGGCAACGAAGGCCCTGATGCAATGGGAGGCGATCTCACCCAGGATAATTTTATTTATAATTTGAGGAAATTAGATGCAATATTACTGTGATTAATGCTGAAAATTCCATTCTGTATCAAAGGTACTGTTTTTGGAATAAAGTAAATCATTATTATTATTATTACTATTATCCGCTTGAAATGTAAGACACAGAAAAAGTTATTGAATAGATAAGAATCCACATTTGGATCCACAATGTGTGTAGCAAGCATACAATGTATCCTTTCTTCTCTTTATTATTATTATTGTTATTGTTATTCTTTTAGGTTCAAACAGCAGCCATTGAATGTTGTGCAATCCTTATAGGATTACATAATCGAAATTATCCCCAGAATGATGATGCATCGCTTTTGTATGCGATTGAAAATTTCCTTCTCGAAGAAATGCCTGTTCTAGAAGTGGACTTTTTACTACAAAAAATAAGAAAAGCTGTTGAATATGAAAGTTTTAAGGAGAATTTCACCGATGAGAATGATTCACTAGAGTTGGAGATCAGTGAAAGACAAAAATGTAAGTTTGGAAATAAATTTCTCATATATTTTCAAGTAAGGATGGAGTTCTCACCGATGATATTGCCTGGTAGCAGTTAGAATTCATGGGCTGACCACTGGATCGGGTCCTAGTGACTGAATGGTATACGAGCTTGTCTTGTAAACAGAAGGTTCTGGATTCGAACCCTGATGGTGGGTGTGTACTGCCGATGAGTCCTAAACTAGGACGAAGGAGACAGCTGTCTGGCAGTACTCCAGTGCTGGTATTTAATGCTTCGCTAACTGATATCAATTCGTGGTCTACTCCAGAACAAATTTCTTATTCTTACCGTTCATCCCTTGACTTCTGAGTGGAACATAAGGACTCGAACAAGACATCTCCCATTTCACTCTGTTCTTTGCAGTCATTTTAAACCGCCACTACGAGTTTGCATTACCTCATCAACAGATGATTTTTGGCATGTCATCCTCGGCCTTATGTCCAGCTGGTTACTTCTCATTCGGACTCCACTTGACAATCTGCCTGGTATGTGGTGTCTCCTCAGAGTATGTCCAGTCCCCGTCTGTTCACTTCCCTCTCTATATTGTTGAGGAATAGGTTGTTGGTTGGTTCGTTGCCAATAATTCCTTGTTGTTTTCAAAAATTTAAAGCAATTAGTTCCCTTTATGAATTTCGACAACACAATAGGAAGACATGTATTATTATTTATTATTGTTTCCTTTAATTCCTAGAGGAACATAGGGCTTCAGCCATGCGTCTCTATTGAGTTCGGTTCTCTGCAAGAGTCTTCACCTGGCTCCATGTCTGCCCACACGCTTTCATCTCCTCTTCACATCACCTCCTCCTCCAAGTCACCCTTGCACTGACGACCAACTCGCCGCTTCCCTTTCGGGTTCCACTCGAGCGATGGCTTGTCTAGTGATGTCACTTGATGGTTTCCTAAGAGTATGGCCAATCCATCTCCAGTTCTTCCTGTCTATTTGTTTCAGAATCTGTTCCTGGTTGGTTCGCTCCCATAGATCACTGTTGCTGATCTTTTCTGACCGGCCATCTGATCTTGAGTATTGAGCGAAGACAACTGTTAATGAAGGTCTGTAGTTTGTTTGAGATGCTCTTTATGACGCGCTGGCCAAGTCTCTGATCCGTATAGTAGCACTGACTTCACACTGGAGTTGAAAATCTGGATCTTATTTTTGATGCTGAGTGCTGTCGACTTCCACACAGACTTGAGAGTGGTGAAAGCTTGTCTTGCTTTTCCGATCCTTGTTTTGATATCCTCGTCAGTTCCGTCTTCCTGTAGTTGAAACGATGCTTCCCAGGTCGGTTGGTGAAGGAGGTTGTTTCTTTCAGGTTCATCCCATTTATGCTGATTGTTGTCTGTTGTTGTTGTTCTTGTCCAGGAATCTTCATCACCTCTGTTTTCTCTATGTTCACCTGAAGTCCTGTCTTCACTGGATGCTTCTTCTGCCAATTTGTTGCTTTTCGCTTGCATATCTTCCATTTTGTGAGAAATCAGACATATATCATCGACGAAGTCAAGATCCTCCAAGTTTCTTGTGTGAGTCCATTTTATGCCTGTTTCCTCATTGCCCGCTGTTTGTCGCATTATCCAATCTACTGCAATCGGGAAAATCATTGGCGATAGTAGGCTTGTAGTTTATCTGAAACGTGTAATGTATTGGCGCAACACATTTTGGACATTCTGATCACGCACACACATGAGTACTTGTCATACACAGTTTTTATAGAAGGCAAGAAGGTATGAATAATTGCAATACAGATCAGTTTGTGTACAGGTCAGGGTCACAAATAATGGGTAGGGGGACGCAAAAATGTGGGTAAGAAAGAGAAAAAGAGAAAAAACAAAGCAAAGAAGGGGTTGAAAATATTATGAAGTAAAATTGGTCCTTGATTCTAATTTCGATCACCAAGGCAGGTTTAAGGTAATAGCAAATAACTTTTGGACACATAAGACAGACAGGTTTAAGTCTCTTTATGGCTAAGGATTCAATGAATTTAAGTATGTGGCCCAACCTTGTTTTATATATGGGCTTAAAGGCATTGTTGAAATCAACCTTATGACCCGTCTCTATAATGTGCTTCGCTGTAGATGATGTTGGACATCTATTTCCGGGGTCAGTTGTGTCTGGCGATTTTATTTGTTGCTGCAGCCACTTTGGAATATGTTCTGTAGCCCTAACCTGCAGAGACCGATGGGTCCTCCCTACTATGTTCGTGTCTCCACACATACATGCAAATTGATAAACACAATGGGATGGGGCACTATCGTTCGGATTATGTGAGGGTTTACAGGACAGTATAGTTCTTTACTAGTTGGCCATATGACCTTCGGTATTGAACGAAGAGGAAGAATGTTAATGATGGTTTGCAGCCTGTTGACAACTCCTTGGCTTTAGATAAAGCAATAAGACGACGTAATTTGTTTGAATCGTGTTATGTTGTATTTTTGCGCGCACAACACATTTCGAACAATCTGATCACACTCCACGGACTTGCCATAGGATTGTATATATATGAAATTAATGAAGAGGTAAGAGGTGAGAAAAAAGACTACTTAGGTCAAGTTAAAAGGACATATTCAAGGTCAAATTAACAATGTAGATCACTAAACCAAATGACAGTGGTAATAGTACGTCTCCCCTGGATGGTATCAAAACAAAATTTACCAAGGAAGGTTTAGTGTGATTACGAATTGTTGCTTTGAACGCATAAAGGTATCTTAATTACCACAGTTTCTGCCCTGTTCCGTAAAAAAGAGCCTTAGTAAGGTGCATCTTCAGTAGAATCCAACGAAAGTATGCACTGAAGACACACTTGATGAAGAAGAAAGAAAATTGACACAAACTCTCTTTGACAACAATTATCCAGACAAGTTCATCAGGAGATATAACGTAGTCAGAACACCAAAACCCAATCTACAACTCGCCCCTAAGAAAGACGTGTACATCAAGCTACCCTATATGGAGCATCATAGCAGCTTGATAACCAGATAAAGATTGAACGCTACTGTTAAAAAGACTTCTTATGTAGCTAATATCAAAATAATTGAGAATGTGAGTCTAATATATCCATCCATGCAAGCCCTTTGAACATGCGAAAAATGATGTCACATCCCACTGTATTAACCATTTTGAATGTATATGACGTCATTGATCTCTGCAAGTAAGGGCTGGCTTCAAAGCATACTCCTAAGTGGCTCTAGAAGCAAATAGAATCCTCAGAACCCATTAATAGTGAGAACAGTAGACCTAGCTGCTCTATTGCGAAACATATCATAGAGACAGGAAATTAAATTGATGTTTACACGTCCCTTAAACCTATGAATAAAACGTGTTTGGGGCGTATCCTAAAGTTTGTGGAAACCCTAACTAGCAATTAGAAAGTTTAAGCCACCTTTATGCGTTCAGAAACAATTTGTCGTCACATTAAACCTTCCTTGGTAAATTTTGTTTTGATACCATCCAGGGGAGATGTACTATTACCTCTGTTATTTAGTTTAGTGATCTTCATTGTTACTTTGACTTTGAATATGTCCTTTTAACTTGACCTAAGTCTATTTTCTCACCTCTTAACTCTTCATTAATTTCATATATATAGAATCCTATGACAAGTCCGTGGGTTGTGGTCAGATTGTTCGAAATGTGTTGCGCAAATACAAGAGTACACGATTCAGACAAAATACGTCTTCTTATTGCTTTATCTAAATTCATAAAGGGAACTAATTGTTTTAAACTCCTTGGCTGTCAGGCACATCAAGTCTCTGAGCCATATGATAGCAATGGCTTGACAAAGCAAATTTCCATACCCTGCAAAATGATTGAAAATTGTGATCTGTATATAAATAGCTCATGTTCGATTGATCAAAAGAAGTGATGCGGTGAAATCCAGACGTAATCATCAGCTTTAATTATGACTAAGGAGTGATATCAGTTAGAGAACCATTGAGAACCAGGAAGTACTGGTGCAAGTGACTGCCTACAGGACAAAGTTTTATGGAGTTCTAGGAAGAAGTTGTGAAGACCAATACTCGCCACGAATGACACTGGCTAGCAGTGTTCGCGCTAAAATTACGAATTAGTAAAGGTTAGCATTCATGCCTGGCCATTGAGTTAGATATCAGTGGCTGAAAGGTAAACGAACTCGCCTTATAACCAGAAGGTCTTGAGTTCTATCCACGGTGGATGCGCACTGACGATATGGTCCAAAACTATGGCTGACGAAACAGCTATCCAGTATTCCGCGATTTTCAATAGTTCTCAAACTGATATCAATCTGCTTGAAACAAATCAAGTGCCTACAAACAAACTTTTGAACCTTTAAAAAATCGTAAAGGTAAAAGTCAGGAATAATATTATAGCAGTTACTTTAAAGGTTATAATCATATGATTACAGGTTTCTAGTGAGTATTTTATTTATTCCTTGACTTTCCCAGTGGAACATAGGGCTTCAAGCTAGAGGCTTGAAGTTTCGGTAGATGTGGTGATTAGTTTTACAGGATGGGGTTGCTGCTGGACTCATACCCAACCTTCCCTCCTTACCAGTCTTACTACTGGGTTAGCGAGGTAAAGGAGTGCGTCGGTGGTCGAGATCGAACACCGGACCATGTGCATGGTCGGCGAGCGTCCTAACCACTATGCCACCGACGTACACCTATATATATATGTATAGCGCGATTGTCAGTCAGTGCCATCAGCAGGTATTTATATTAGACAGTTTGAGGCAATCGGCAGGAAGCCTTACCGGGAACTAGGTTTCGTGCTAGTTGGAATTAACCAGTCAGCAAGGCAGGCGTATCTGCAATCTTGAAGGAACTCATGTCCCTTCTGAGATTCGAACCCGCGTCACCCAGTGCCGCCTGCAGTCAGAGACGTTATCACTGAGCTATTCGGGTTCGCAATTGACCTCCTGGAGGACTGTAGTGGGTAGTTTGATTGGACACTAGTAACTAGTGTGATGTGTCTAGTCCTTTGTTCGGTGCAGACTGAATTCTATCAGTCAGGTTTGCCATGTGTCCACCATTCTAGGTAGCTCACCGTCACGGTGCACATTGATTTGATTATAGTAGATAGTTGGAGACAAATGGCAGGAAGCCTTACCGGGACCTAGGTTTCGTGCTACTTGCCACTAACCAGTCAGCAAGGCGTATCTGCAACCTTGAAGCAGCTCATGTCCCTTCTGAGATTTGAACCCGCGTCACATCCAAAATGGTGCACCCTTCTGGTTACCACTTTCCATTAGTACTTCCTCCAGGTAACTTCATCCTGCAGTCAGTTACTAGTGTGGTGTAGACTAACTTCCAACTGTTGGATTTTTATTATCAACATTACTTATTTTGTATTTTATCACAAATCTGAATCTTATTCACCATTATTTCTTTTATATCTTATTTTATTAAGTTTGCAAATATGCTAATTCAATGAGAAGTGCACCGAGTTATATGAAGAGAAATGTTACATTCCCAGCAATGGTTAGTTGATTCTTATTGTTACTATTATTATAATTATTGTTATTATTAATTACTGTCAAATAATATTTAACATTTAATAATAATAATTTGCTTTATTCCAAAACAGTACTTGTGATACAGAATGGAATTCTCAGCATTTTTACTGCAGTATTGCATCCAGTTAGTACATTATCAATAAATAGAATTCTACATAGATTAAGGAAATCTCAGTTCATTATGACAACAACATATTGGCATGTCGGTAGCAAAGCCAAAGTTGAACAGTGTTTGAAGGTGTTAGAAAATTAGATGCTATCATATTTACTGGCGTTAGCGAGAGAAAGAAACAAAGCAGCACATAACGGAAAAACAGAGAGAGAGAAAAGGAAAAGAAAGAAAGAAAATGTTGTACCTATAAATGATATGAGTTGGAAAGGCGAGATCCAGTTGTTCTACTGACTATTTAATGAATTATAGGTGTCACGCCTAATGCTTTCTTTATCACACAGAACACGAGCTAAGTAGGGTATGGTTTAGTTTTTGTACTTGCTGGTGCGAGCATATAGTTTTCTATATAGGCTTCTGGTTTTACCTAATGAGATGCAAGGGGAGAGTTGTGAATGAAGAGGGTGGTGTAAGTTGGATAAAATGGATTTGGCCCATTTTTCACATGAGTCCATGTGCCTGTCGACCAGAATATTAACAAGCTGGTTAAGTGACACGTTGCTTACCCTGCTGACAACCTTTAACATCCTGCGTAATATGTTATAGTCTTTCTTCAGTAGCCCGGGCAGAACTAAGGGGGAACAATAGAGAATAATAGTCAGAATACGGGAGGAATAGGACGTTTAACAGAATTCATAAACTTCATACACACTTATTCCTTCTCTTTATGAATTTGTATAAAGCAAGAACAACAGTGGTCTGTGCAGAAAAAGATGCTACCAACATTGCTTATTTCATTGGCTTCTCATCAGCTGCATACAGCCTCGAGTTAATTGTTAAGTTTATGCACAGAATAATTTTAACACACTTGTGAATGTTACATGATATAAGTTGACAAGAGACTCAAAACTTGATGAACAGTGCTCAGAAAATTGCCCTTATATAGTTTACACCCAGAAAATTCCAGTTTAAACAGAAATAAATGTTTGGGTACAACGACAAAAGAGTTACGTAATAGAGAAGAAAGGTGAATGAGATGATGTTCAGTCCATATCTGTTAAATTCTTCAAGATAGTATGATTTACGAATACCACAGTAGTCAGTAATTTAACTCAGTAGCAAATACATGTATGTCATCAGGTTGAAGATACTCAGAATGACTGACCGCTTTCAAAATAGAACTTTGCACAAAAGTTCACCAGTTCGAACTGTCAAACACCAAGTAGTGCACAAAATAAGACAAGAGAGACAAGAAATTAGATTCAGAAGTACGATAATGAAGCAACAGTGAAAGGAGGAGGAATAGTTACATGATGAAACGGTAGGGTAATAATGTTATGAGTCGAACTCAAATCATAGAAACAAGAGACAAGCAGAGCTGCACTATATCAAAGTGGGTGGGTGAGGTTAAGGTCAGAGATTGCGTAATCAAGTGCAAGACAGAGTAAAGACATCCAGTTACCAGCATAGGCAAGGAAAGACTGATAACTGCTAATTTCTGAACACATCTATTGCGCTTCAGGCGTTCAATTGCGGTTGGATAGGTAAGCATCAGGAGAACTGAACCATTTTGCCGATTGATAATTTCAAAGGATTTCAATGATGTCCACCTCATAATCCACATGCACGAGATCTCTAGTAATGACACTGTTGCAAGCGTTTGTTCCCCTGAGACATAGGCTTCTTAGTACATGTTCAGAAAATCGAACGTGTGCCTTCTTTCTGTTTTTTATCCAATGTAACTGCTCCAGCAGATACTTATAAATTTGTGTACACACAGTTAAAGTTACCATGGGAAGGGTATCTGTCGACTTTTTCGATAAACGGGAACTAACTCATCTGTAGGATAGGTTCTGATCAGAAAGGTATTCAGCCTTCTGTTGGCTATTCCTTCAATATGATCACCATATGAATGGAGATGAATGAAGAAAGACTTCTTTTATACTCTGAGAGTGGAGTCTCCTGTCACCTGACATTATGTAACATTTGCAAGTATGTTAAAATTGCTCTGTACGTAAACTTAATAATTTAATCAGGCTGTACGCAGTTGATGAGAAGCCGATGAAATAATTGGTGGTAGCATCTTACTCTGTGTTGGTATTTCGGGGGCACAGCGGTAGAGTGGTCCGGGGTTAGAGCCCCGGCCACAGACGCACTCCTTTACCTCGCTTAGTCAGTAGTAAGACTGGTAAGGAGGGAAGGTTGGGCATGAGGCCAGCAGCAACCCCATCCTGTAAAAATAATCACTACTGCTGCTAACGAAACTTCAAGCCTTTAGCTTGAAGCCCTATGTTCCACTAGGAACGTAAAGGAATACAAAAAATCTTACTCCGTAGTTTATTCAAAAAAAAAGAATTCATATAATTGGTAATTTACAGAGCTATTGGTTTCTTTTCCACATCTGTGCAATAACACCCATAAATTTTCATTATTGTCATTCATTTCACTGAATTGAATTAGTTGATCGTCTTCTAACTAATGTATTCCACTAACAGATGCACTCAACTAGTGTACTGACATCATTTTATTGTGCTTTATACTCAGACTGTAAGATCATATTTTATTAAATGAATTCGATCATACAGGAATTAACTATTATGCTTAAATGGCCTGTTGAATAAAGCTTTTGTGGTAGGAATAGCTCTAGCTTATTTCAGCTTTTGGTGAGAAGGGAATTACTGCTTGCCGAATTGCTGACATGGTCAAGAGAAAAGGAAATCTACTTCCTGACTTTCACTACTAGTCATTACCGAATAAGTAATATCTGTAAAATTGTATTTGTATTTATACATATATTTTTACGAGTTGATCACGGACTGATATCAGTTAGAGAACCATTGAAAACCAGCATTGGAGTACTGGACAGCTGCTGTTTCATTCTAGTTTGGGAATCATCGGCAGTACGCACCCACTGGGATACGACCCCAGGACCTTCCGGTTACAAGGCAAGCTAGCTCGTATACCATTCAGCCACTAGGACCTGATTCAATGGCTCATGAATTCTAACTTCTACCAATTCGTTGAGGTCGCGCTAAATCACCAATTGGTAGAAGTTAGAATTCATGAGCCATTGAATCGGGTCCCAGTGGCTGAATGGTCTACGACTTTGCCTTGTAACCGGAAGGTCCTGGGTTCGAATCCCAGTGGGTGCGTACTGCCGATGATTCCCAAACTAGGATGAAACAGCAGCTGTGCAGTACTCCAGTGCTGGTTTTCAATGGTTCTCTAACTGATATCAATCCGTGATCAACTCGTAAAAACATAACTAACCCTTAAAAACCAAACTATAGAAAATTATACATATATGCAAGGAATCTCTTTAAGACTTCTGGTGTTTTCTAGACCATGACAATGGAAATAGAATGTACAAGTAGAATGTGTGTGAGTTGGTGGTTCTATGGCAGAATACATGTGAGCCACGTGGGAGGTCCAGTTTACATTTGCAGCCAATGTACTCTTAAGCCTCATCTAGTTCACTAGCCTTGAAAAGAGGGAAGGTTGTGCGACAGGCTAACAACCACACACCGTAAGAAAACAGCATCACTACTACTGAAATAGAAAAACTTGTTGCCGCATGACACATTCGGAAGCCAAAGGAACAAAGTAAAGTAAAGAACATATCACTTCACCGCATCATCTACGATCTATCGGTGTAAGAACGAATTAGATAAACATTTCAATGCAATATTTAAGTTATATGTCATGAGTGATGGAATGTTAACCTTTAAAATAAGCACTTTCAATTCCTTTGTGGGTAAAATTTATTTTGATAAAGTCTCACAGTGTTATACAGTAGTAATATTTACTGATGACAACGTTTCAAGCACAATTTATCATTGCCACTCATAATCATATCAAGGCACTACTCACACAACTTTCTGACTTCGTTTATATAATTGCACCATTATTTTTCATCGCTTGACTTGATGATTGGTAGTAGTATTTTCCATATTCCCGGTATGAGTGATGAGTCATTCCTATTACACGTGTTGGGTGTAGACTCGATGAACAAGGATTCAGTAATCAACCTCTCTCTCCACCTACCTAGATTACTTCTTAGAATTCTAACCCTCTCCCACCTTATTGCGTGGTTGTGTGTCACTGCATGCAGTGGAATTGCTGAGCTTTTTTCTAAGTTACTTATCTTCATTCTAACCTTAGCTAAATTCTTATGTTCTGATGATTTTACTACTCCTGATCTACTAGTTTGATCTATGTAGTTGATCTCACAGTCAGATAATGGGATTATACTCTACCACACTGTACAAGTTCTATTCTTATATCAAAGTACTTTCAAAACTGATTATGAATGAGAGAGCACACATATATTCAGAAATGTGTTTCACTAAACATACGATTATGGCGTATGGAGATTTTAAAAGGATACAATGTGAACATCCAACATTCGACTGTGTTCAGTTCAAATCCGGTTAATTCTTCCAGATAGTATGGCTTACGAATATCACAGTAATCAATAATTTAACTCAGCAGCAAATACATATATGCATGATACTCGGAATAACTCACTGCTTTCAGCATTGCACTTTGCAGAGAAGTTCACCAGTTCCAGCTGCCACACTCAATGTAGAGTGTACGAAAGAAGACGAAAAAGAGAAGAGATGAGATTAAAAAAACGATAACAAACCGAAAGAGAAAAGAGGAAGAATAGTAACGTGGAAAAACGGTAAGCTCTGTTGAATATGAGAGATCACAGAGAGTGAATACGTCTGGCTCACACAATGGTTTCTAGAATCCCGAAGATCCAAACCAGGAAGTTTACACCTCCCTACGAGGCTCAATCTAACTGTCAGATTCTTCATAAGTTAATGCCAAGTTTTGGTTTGACCAGCACTAGCAGCTATTTT